AACTACCAAGACTAAACTGAGGCAAGGTGAGTGCTACCCGACTTGCACCTTTCCCAGGACATCTGCCACTCTTCTCGAAGAGACGAGGCTGCTGTGTCATCTTGCTATCTTTGCTCTCTGGCTGAGGGAAGAAACAGGAGATGTCACCTGTAGGGAAATGCGTATTGGCTCCTAGGATGAGGGCAAAGTCAGACAAGGTTGAGACAGGGCTCATGCCTAGTGAGGGGATCCGATAAACAGCCTGTGAGTGCCATCTGCTGTACAAGCCTGGAAAGCAAACACAATCCTAACATTAGCGCCTGGAGGGATTCTTTGATTACTCTAACGTCTGCTGTGTCCTATTCCACAGCAGGGCAACACGATTGAAGGGTAAAGTTGAACCATACAAATTGCCTGCTTTCTGTGGGCTCAGGACTTAATGGAAGAGACTTACATTACTTACCGTGTGTTCTGTATGCCAGAGTGATGGAAACATGGGAAGGAGTATAGTCTACAAGGGGTGATTCTCTTTAGATCAAAGAGATACCCTACAAGGATTCTGAAGCATGGCTGGGTTTCCCAGGTAGAGTAAAGGCGGAGTCAAGGGCCATGCCACCGAAGAGGAGGAGAGTGGGCAAACACCCTCTAAACGGCTTAGTTTACATTCTGCAGAAAATGAGTAATCTTTTGGCTGGTTATAGGCAGTGCTTTAATATGATCAGATTGACAACCTACAAAGACATTCTGGTAGCCAGGCGCAGAACAAGTTTGGAGAAGAAGACTGAACGCGAGAGATGAGTTAGAAGCCCGTTGCCAACCGTCTAAGTGACAAATGATGTGGAATTAAATTAAGGCCGAGGCACTGAAGCAGACGAGGGGATGAGTTTGAGAGAGATTTCAAAGATAAATTCAGCGCTAGTTGATATTTCATTGTCTGACCTCAGGGGAGAGGGAAAGTGGATGAAGACTCCCAGGGTTTGGGTTTGAGTGATTGGATCAAAGAGAAGCAGGTGGAGGAGAGGCTAAAATGTACGCTAATGATTTATTTGGGACAAGTTGAAGTTTAACAGCTATAAAATACCCACAAACTAAATAGATGCACTTAGGGTTCAATGATCACCTCCTCCTCCTCCGTCATCAGTTCTCCTGGTAGAACTCTCCTATAAAAGAAAGGTTTTGCTCTGCAGACCCCCCTCCATGTAGAAGGTTTCCTTCCCCATCTGCCTGTGTCTGTTCATTTGGTGTTGTAAGCATTTTCATCCTTTCCATCAGAAACAGCCAAGGCACACACAGAAAACACATTTGCTTTGCAGCGAGACAGACTTTCCTCTTTAACTTAATAGCTGTCACTTAACCTCTCTATGCCTCACTTACCTTGTTTGTAAAATGAGAGATAACTATTTTTCCAGGTTGTTGTAGGGGTTAAAATAAGAAATGTATATATGTGGGCAGGCATCAGAGGTGCTGAAAAATATACTTGCATGCCCTGATCCTCGCATCATAAAAAGACCAGAAAACGTTTCCAGGTTTTGTTTTTAATGGCACGCTCATAGCTTTTGATAGGTGAATCAAGAAATAGATTTTTATATTTTCTGAACTGTTGGAGAATACACATATTCTTTATGCATAAGGTCTCAAAAGATAAATTCCTTTTAATATAGTTACTGTGGGGGGAGCTCTTTTAGGACCTAGTTTAATTCTTTAATTATTAGTGAGAATTAGATAACTCATTGCTCCATTTTTACTTTAACTGACAAGCTGTGAGCTGATGCATCTGTGCCCTGTTGGCCAGTATACTTGCGGTGCTATGAATCAGAACCAGACTTGATGGCCCTTAACAACAGCAACAACAATTATGAAGATGATTAGTTATTATTTTACTTAATCTGCATGATACCCTCTGAGGCATTGTGGCTATTTTCCAGAAGAGGAAAAGGAAGCCATGGCTCAGAAATGTTAAGTGACCTGCCTGAGGTTCCACAGTGGGGGTCTGCCTGACTTCATCATGTTCTTAACTTTTATACCATAGGGTTTTTCATTTGGCAAATGTACTACATTCAGTTGGTTTTAAGCCCTCGTGCTTTCTTTTCTTTTTTATGTCTTTAGGAGACAGAATAAGTTCACAAGAGCCAAAATAAGGCCTTGAGTCTATCCCACCAGAATTTCAAGAACATCTCAAGAACAGATTTGACACATTGGACACTGATGACAGAAGACTTGATGTGACCATTCATTAAAAAAGGAAAAAGCCATTTAGAAGACAGGAAAAAAAGGTCAAACTGGATGTTAGAAGAGACTGTGAAACCTCCTTTTAACCAAAGAGTTGCTAAAGAAAATGGAAGAAAGGATGAAGTCAAAGAGCTGAATAGAAATTTCAAAGGGCAATTCGAGAAGACCAAGCCAAATATTATAATGAAATGTGCAAGGACTGAAAGGACTCAAGAAAAAATTCAAGTCTTGATTTGCACTTTTGAAAGATTCCATGGGAAAAAAATTGAATGATGAAGGAAGCATCAAGAGAAGATGGAAGGAATAAAGTCACTGTACCAAAAAGAACTAGCCAGCATCCCACCATTTCCGGAGGTAGCATATGAACAAGAACCAGTGGTGCTGAAGGAAGTAGTGCACGCTGCAGTGAAAGCATTAGCCAAAAACACAGTCCTAGGAATTGATGAAATACCAATTGAAATGTTTCAGAAAGCTGAAGATGCACTGGAAACATTCACTTGTCTATGTAAGGAAATCTGGAAGGCAGTTATGTGACCAATTGACTGGAAGAGATGCCTATTTGTATACATTCCCAAAGAAAGGTGCTCCAACAGGATGCTCAAATTATGTAACAATATCATTGATATCACATGTAGTAAATTTTGCTCAAGATCATCCAACAACAGATGCAGCAGTACATTGACAGCTGGTTACCAGAGGTTCAGGCTGGATTCAGAAGAGGACATGGAACCAGAGTTATCAATGCTGATGTCAGATGGATCTTGGGTGAAATTAGAGAATACCAGAAAGATGTTTGTGCTTTATTGACTACGCCAAGGCATTTGACTGTGTGGATCTAACAAACTATGGATAACCTTGAGAAGAATGGATCAAGAAGGCAATTGTGTGAAAGGAACAAGGGTTTCAAATGGACTATGGTTTCAAATCAGGAAAGGTGTGCAATATGGTTGTATCCTTTCCCCATACTTGTTCAATCTGTATGCTGAGCAAATAATCAGAGAAGCTGGCTTATATGAATAAGAATGTGGCATCAGGATTGGAGGAAGATTTATAAACACTGGCGATATCCAGATGACACAATCTTGCTTGCTGAAAAGTGAGGAGGACTTGAAGCACTTGCTAATGAAGATCAAAGATTGCAGTTTTCAGAATGGATTACAACTCAATGTAAAGAAGACCAAAATCCTTACAACTGGACCAGTACGTAACATCATGATAAATGGAGAAAAGTTTGAAGGTGTCAAGGATTTTGTCTTGCTTGGATCCACCATCAATGCTCATGAAAGTGGCAGTCAAGAGATCAAAAGCAGCAGCAGTCAAGAGATCATGAGTATTGCATTAGGTAAATCTGCTGCACAAGACCCCTTTAGAGTATTGGAAAGCAAGGATGCTACCTTGAGGACCCAGGTGTGCCTGACTCAGCCATGGTATGTTCAACTACCTCATAAGCGTGTGAAAGTGGGAGACTGAATGAGGAAGACCACAGAAGAATCGATGCATTTGAATTGTGGTGCTGGAGAATAATATTAAAAGTACCATGAACTGCTAAAAAGACTAACCGATCTGTCTTGGAAGAACTACAGCCAGAGTACTCCTTACGGGCAGGTAGGGCAGAGACTTGTCTTGCACATTTGGGACACGTCAGGAGAGACTAGTACCTGGAGAAGGGCACTATGTTTGGTAGAGGGACAGTGAAAAGGAGGAAGGCCCACAAGGAGATGGATTGACATGTGACTGCAACAATGAATGAAGCATAGGAGTAATTGTGAGGATGGCGCAGGACCAAGCGATGTTTAGTTCCGTTGTGCATACGGTCGTTGTGGGTCGGAACTGACTGGATGGCATGTAACAAGAGCCTAATAAGATAGGATACGAAAGGTCTGAAAGAGGCCAGAACAAGTAAACTATGTTTTAGGTGGTGTGTTGTGGGGCTTTCTTAAATTTTTAGACTTCTCTGATTGATGACCTCCACATGCTTATCCATTCCATTCGAATATATAAAAACTCTTGCAGAAAGCAGGCAGGGTCAAAGAGGTACTGAGGCAAAGGAGAAGAACTAGCTCGGATGCTCGCTGGACGATGGGGGCGGGGGAGGCGGAGTATGCCGACCCAAGGCCATCACTACAGTGGGTCTGTCTTGCATGGTATTGTGCAAGGCTCACCAGTCAAGTGAGTTTCCCTCCTCCCTGCAGGGGAAAACTGATGCTGGAACCTGGCCTACGCAGGCCTCACTGCTAGCTAAGAGGAGGGAGCGTCCACCTTTGACTCTGCAGCGACCATAAAGTGGTCTGCTGCAGATGCTCAAGGCTGTAAAAGGCTGTTCTCAACCAACTACTAAACTCGACCAGCTCTCTCCAAGACCACTCACCTAAACCAGCAGGCGGCAGGCGGCAGGCGGGTGACCCTCAACGAAGACCGACAGTCTATTGGCCAATCAGGAATCTCGGTTGTGCTTCGAGTAACGAATAGAGTTGGCAGAGTATTCTCGGCCCGCCTCAAAGGCATTTTTTTCCTCACGAAGAACTTCGCGAGATCATCGCTCCAACGTAAGGGTTGGCTGAAATTGAGGGTTACGCCCCCTGTTTCCTTCGATCCACAATTGGTCCCCTAGAAGAGAAGGGCGGGCTCATCAACGAGCTCCCTGGATGTTCATTGGTCCATGGGTCTGACCTGCCGGCGCGCGGGAGTTAGCGCGGGAGTTTGAACCGGCGCTTGGCGGCGTTGCCATGGGGATGCGGCGCGGTGTCTCATTCTGGCTCGTGGGGATGACAGGCCAACTTGGGGCTCTCTCCTTGCGGCGTCTTTTCTTGTCCTTAGACAAGGCTGACCGAGGAGTTTGGGAGTCCCCAAGGTGAGAAAGGGCCGGGATAACCGGGACGAGGCGGGCAGACCTGGTCGGGAGATTTGGCGCGGGCCCCGGGGGAGAAGGCGTTCGTCCTGCCCGCCGAGTGCGGGAATAGACGGGCGGTTGGGAGAGAACCGGGAATTAGCCCTTCGTGGTTCTCCGAACTCTCACCCACTCACCTACCTCTCATTCCCACATCCCAGCCTTTTTCAGCGAAGATCTCCACCACCACCCCGCCATTAAGCCTCTTCTGAGTCCCAAAGCCCTCTTGCCTTTGAACCAGTACCGCAGGGTGGAATTTCCCCTAGAACATTGCAATTCAGCCTTGGGCTATTTGTGAACTCCATTTTCTTCTCTTATTTCTTCCACACAGTACGTTTTCGGGAAGTATTTTTTAATTGAATTTAACCACAAATAGGTTGAATACCCCCATATGCCCTGCCCCATCCTGCCTCCCATTGAGATACCGTTGTTGGTTTTTTGGGTGTTTTTTTTTGGGGGGGAGAACTGGGGGAGAACACCCTAATCTCGTGTACATATGGGTCTGAAGAGCCCTTCCACCCTCTGTGACGGTTAAAAACCAGGTTTTTCTTTTTTTTTTTTGATTGGTTGCTACAACACTGCCATATGTGGCTTTTGTGGGCCTCTCAGTTGTGCTTACTGATGTCTTTGCTTAAAATAAACCATCTGTTCCAATGTGTATCAGACTGTTGGGATCCAAGAGAGAGTATACAAATCTTATACAAAAGCACATTTAAGATATATTGTCACGTTTTAGGTGTGCTTCGGATAATATTTTAAAGCATTTGTACTTTGTATTTGAGCTCTGCTGGCAGTCTGTTTCAAAGACAGCTGCTGCTCAGGTTTCTTCCTACCCATTCAACAGGTGTCTGTGATAGAATGGCTTTGACCAGGCTGTTGTTTTCTTGTTCACTCATAGACTACGTAGACTTGTGTTCTCCGTCTCTTTGTTACTGGGAGTTTGCTTAAGAGTCTGTTGTCTAAGTTCATAGCTCAATGATGACTAATAAAATAATTGAAAAAGTCATGGTTAGTAGCTCTGTTTTATCGCACTCTTATAAAAGTTTGAACAGTACCTTATAACTAGACTGCAGATCTGTCACATGTAGTGGAAACCAGCCTGGCATTCAGTGTTTGGTCTTGGCACTGCCTCTAACTCACTCTTTGAGGTTGGCTTTAGAAGTCATTTAGCCTCTTTAGATCTTACTTTTCCCATCTTTAAAATCCAGGTCTTGAAACAGATTCTAATTCGTGTGCGTTTACTGTCAATTTAATCAACAACAGCTGTGAAGTAGGCATGATAGGCTCTGTCTCCCAAAGACTGTGGGAATTGGTAGCAGCTGGACGTCGTAGTTCTCATTTATTGAGCTTTTCCCCCTGTGCATAGAACTGTGTCAAGGGCCTTGTATCAATAGTAGTATATTGCACCCCTCAGTGGTGCAAACAGTTTGCTCTTAGCTGTGAATCTAAGCTTTGCTGTTCAAACCTTCCTGGGGCATCTTGGAAGAGAGCCCTGGTGATCTGTTTTGGCAGACTCTTCTGGTGCAGTTCTTATTCTGTAACACATGGGGTCCCCAAGAGTTGGAACTGACGCCAAGGTAACAGGTTTTGTTTGGCTTGTAGTAATGTGTTGCCAGGGTAGGAGTTCATTAAAAACTTTTTAAGTTTGACATTGCTAATGAATATCTTTAGCTATTCATACTCTGCCCTTGAGGAAAGTTGGAAGTGGCTGCTTCATCCTGATTTCGAGGAAACAGCATTTTCCCTTTAGGCTGTAATTTTTTGTGTAGATTGAGGTGTTGAACTCATCTTGTGTTCTGTGATTGATCCATGAAGCCAGTTTCCCATGCTGGCTCAGTGCTTTAAAAAACATTCTTTGAATGAATGAATGAATGAATGGAAGGTTCTCTTTGGAACAGCCACTCTGTGTCCTTAGCATTTCCTTTGAATAATACAACCTTGCTCCCTCTTGATACTCAGGAGCAGTGTCAAGACACCACTGACCGCCAGAATTTTCCTGACCAGTGAAGTTACCCTAATACCAAAGTTTCTATCACGCACAATGATAAATGATGTAAATTGCCTTTGTAGAGTTTTGAATGTAGTGTAGGGATATTTACTCATGAAACAATTGTTTATTATTTCTGGATACTGTATTAAATCCTAGGGTTAAAAAGAGTAATAGGATACAGCAGACTACACCTGAAAATACCTCAGTTGTGTTTTAATTCGAGTAAGAGAGGTAAAGGTTTGATGAGTGGGAGGGAGCCACCTAAGTACAACATGAATTAATGCATAGGAATAAAATAATCTAAGAAGTTGGTTCAAGCAGAGATCATAGCTTTGTAGGGCATGCTAAGGAGCTTGAACTTTGTTCTATAGAGAGGTGAGAGGATGGCCATTGAAGGGTATTACATGAGAAAACAGAATGGTCCTAACTGCTTTTGAAAGAATGACCTGGTTCTGCAGTTTGGAGGATGACTTGGAAGGGGCAGAATTGGAGGCAAGGGAAATCACTTGAGACATGTAATGACCTAGGTGGGAGATACCGGGACTGAAACCACCAGGGAGATGGCAGTAGGAATGAAGATAAAGAGAAGAGAGATTTGACATATATATTGTTAGGTTCCGAAGAGTTGCAACCCTGTGCACAAGACAAAACACTGCCTGGTCCTCTGCCATCCTCATAATTGTTCTCATATTTGGTCCCCTGGCCGAAGGCACTGTGTCATTCCATCTCATTGAGGTCCTTCCTTTTTTTAGCTGCTACTCAACTTTTCCAAGGAGATTAAATAGGTGTGGGTTATTGATTAGATTTGGGATAAAAGAGGGGCAGAAGTCTAGGATTCATTCCAGTTTAACACCAAGTGAAGGGATCGTGTGCTTGTCACCTCTCAAGGAAAAGAAGGATGGTGAGTCAGATTTTCTGGGGAGATAAAGAGTTTTGTTATTGACAGTCCAGAAGTTCAACTATGGGAATATTTTGCTAGTGATCGTTGTATGTTTTTGCTACAAGATATGTCCATGAAATTGTCTTACTGTGAAGTCACCTAAAGTCACACTAGGATTCTGGAAGTACTCCACCTATCATGTTGCACAATATCTAGGCCCAAAAGACTAGTAATGAGGATCAGTAAAGTCTTTTTTAGTTAGCCACCTTTTATGTTGCAATATGACTGGTTAACATTGATATAGAATCATGTACCCAGCATTACTTTAAAACAAATTCATATGTGTTTTGAATACATTTCGTTACCTATGCATTGATTTCTTCATCTCTCAGAGGGAAGATAGTGGTAATTGCCATCTATCACAAAAAGTCTTGGAAGTTTAATTAGGTACGTAATTAATTACACACTAATGATTTAGCTGATGGTGAATAAACATTATTTTAATTGTTCTTTGCTTTCTCTGTATGGTTCCTTTGGAATATTCACTAGTGCCATTCTGGCAACTTCCTAAAGGTAATGTTAGCTTCACTGGAAGACTTTATATCTTGGTAATTTATGAAAACCGATTGTAATTTTTCCCCCAGTTAAACACATGAAATATGTTTTGTTGAAAGTATTTTATAACTGCCAAATGACAAAAGTCTGCAATGGTAAACCCCCACAATTGGACTAGACCTAGATTTTAAAAATAAAGCACTATATTTAGCCCCAACACTGGTTACCACCTGTTCCTTGGGATTCTTTCAAAATTAAACCTGTATTTTTAGAGAGTGTAATGTTTGCACTGTTGCTTTTGTTTGTTTTGGTTTTAATTTGCACTGTTTTTAGATAATTAGGTTCAACAATTTTGCTGTATTTATTTTTAGCTGATTGCTCTTATGCTTTTTACCAGACTTAAAAACGTAATAATCTCATTGTGGGGCTCTTGAAGGGAATTCACATAGTTTCAGGACATTAACTGTGTAAGTTTGAACAAACTAGAACCTATTTATTTTTCCAATTACAAAGAGAAACTATTTCAAGAACTACTTTTGAGTGTAGCTCACACAATCACTATCTGAAAATCTGCATCTTGTTTTAAGAATTCCATTATTATATAGTCTCATTTCTTTGCAGCTGTTGTTTTAAACAGGTGTCTAATCGTTTGTCTTCTGTTTAGATCAGTAGTCTATAGATAGAATAATCCCTAGAGTTTGAAATAACTAATTACTTTGTAGAGAAAAATTGTTTGTACAAGTACACATTACTCACTTTTTAATATTCCATGAATAATCCTAAATTCCTTGAATTAGCTACCTTATGCCTAGCATGAGGTACAGAAAAACTTAATGAAAATGATTTGAAAGTGTTGGGTTGTACAGTATTCATTTCTAATGGTAATTTAGGATTTTTTTCACTTTAGAGATAAGTCTTTCCAATTAGTGATTTAGTTAATGGCTGCTTCAAAATTGTCATTATTAGAGGTTGTCTAGGGCTAGGTGGGTTGGAAAGTTTCTTTTTGAGGTAATGTAAATGTTCTGAAAGTGATTGTGATGATTCTTGTATAACTCTGTGAACATACTAAAAGCCATGAAGTTGCACCCTTCAAATGGGTGAGTTGTGTGATAATTGTCATACACGTATGTGCTTTTGAATGTGGTCATTGACAGAGTTTAGTGAAAGTCAAATGAAGAAATATTTCTCAGCAACTAGCAGCTGCTGCTGTTCGTTGCTGCCAAGTTGGCTCTGACTCCTGGTGACCTTATGTAAAACAGAAGAAAACATTGCCTTGTCCTGTGCCATCTTTGCGAGCATTGGCATGAAACTAGTCCGTTGGAGCGATTGTGTCAAGCCACCTCTGAGGCTTTTCCTAGTTTTTGTTGACTTTTTACTTTACCAAACATGATGTCCTTTTCTAATGATTGTTCTTTCCTGCTGATGTGTCCACAGTAAGTGAGACAAGGTCTTGCCATCCCCTCTCCTAAGGAGCATTCTGCTTGTATTTCTTCTGAGACTGATTTCCAACCCCTGAAAGGGCACAACATACTGAATATT